CAACCACAGTGATTATGATATCGTTGCTGGTGATGTACATCTGTCACTCTTCAGTGCCATGAACGACATAGACTCATATGTATGGACGAAAAATGTTCACCATCCGAAGGGGGAAGCTTTTTCGGACATTTTTTTATATTTTCAGGCAGGCTAATTTTCTAGATTACATTTATATTCAAACGCCAGGTGATGGACTTATGATACAATTGCTTCCATGAAGGGCCACGTGTTCCTGAAATTATGCTTGCATTTTCATAAGTTTAGGCTGGATTCATCCATCAACATTTTGGACAGTGAACAGGATTTATTGGTAATAAACAACTTTTTTCGGCTGATCTAAGGAAAAAATGTTCTTAAGATTCGTCTTTTACTAAAATCCAAAACTTCGGGTTTATATTCCAAACTCATCACTGAGCAGACAATGGATAAAGGTTAAAAAAATTGTTCTTTTTGACGCATTCCCAAAGTATATTTTTGAAAATCGTAGTAAATTTGCAAAAATAGTGAGCCCATACAGCAGTACAACTTAATTTTTCCCCAGCAAAAGCGCTATGATACAGCGTTTTCGAAATTTCAAAAGGAACAAGACCCATTCATAAATAATCTTCCGTTTGGCAATGGGAATAGTGGATTAGACTATGATTTTTCTTGGTTCATCGTTTGAATAATTCTGAGTATATGTTATCTCATCAATTTCCTTGCACCATGAGAAAATAGGAGGAACCCCCCCTCCCCCCTCTCCCAAGAGTCAACCCCTTGTGATCCACACGTAACAAACGTAATTTTGCTTGCAACATGAGTCCAATAATTTAAAACGCCCCTCCCACCAATTTCCGTCGGACTTTTACTTCTGCAATATTGTTTATAATTCACCCTGTACAATGTGTGTAAGGAAACTCCAAGCTCCAGAATTCATGACTCGCTTAGATGCATATCCATCCTTTACATTTTTGGCAGCCGTCGTCAGCAAATTTTCGAACTGAGTTTCAGCGCCAATAGCGCCAGCAACCCAAACCTGTTGGCCTCATCTGGATCAATTCTCCCCGTCGAACAGTTGGGGATCCGCTTTCGACGCGTCGAGTTGTGCCGGGCATAGTTGCAACTTAGTGTTCGGCACAGTGCGATTTCCTCGGACTTGTGCATAACTTATAAAATTTCCAATTGCTCTTTAAATATCTGAGCGAG